TGTTGTAATGCAAACAATTTCCAATAATATATTCCTTTTAAACAATTCTTTCCCTCATCTGTTTCAATGTAGTGTACATTATTTATCTCCTCTTTTCTCAGTGTCCACAAATACTGCATAATGTTATGGTTATAAAACAGGACTGACTTGGGTGTTAAGGGGAAACTATATATTATCTTTTGAATAATATAGATAATTTCCAAAAACTACCAAAAAATACAAGCTTATACACAACATAAATCTCCCAGTTTATAACATTTAATTGCAGACTGAACTGTAAAATGTAAAAACTTGTGCTTGTTTTACTGTTTATTGAAATGTGAAAATAACAAAGATTTCCAATTTTTTTTAAGCTATGGTTTTTCTTTATCTTATATTTGTGTGTGATTGGACAGCATAAAGTGTAGATGACTGCTTTTATTGCACAGAAAATATACTGTTTAGATTTAAAATGGTTTTTAAAGTTATAAGCCCAAACTCTAGGTAAAGATGTTGCTGTTGTTGTTGTTATTGTTGTTGTTGTTGTGTGTCATCAAGTTGAGTATGACCCATAGCGACCCTATGAACAAAAGATCTGAACCCTCTTCTATCCTGTACCATCCTCACACTTCTTAACACACTAGAGCCCATTGCAGCAGCAGTCACCATGTCAATCTATCTGGTCAAGGGTCTTCCTCTCCTTTGCTGACCTTCCACCTTACTAAGCATCATGTCCTTCACCAAGGAATAGTCCCTCCTAGCAACATGCCCAAAGTATGTGAGGTGAAGCCTCATCATTCCTGCCTCCAAAGAGCACTCCAGCTGTATTGCCTCCAAAGATATATATCTGTTTGTTTTTCGGCCATCCATAAATGTTTAGTGCTCTTCTCGAACATCACAGCTCAAAGGTATCAATTCTTTTCCATGATCCTTATTTATTGTCCTGTTCTCGGATGCATAACAAATGATGAGAGATACTATGATGTCTCAAACTGACCTCGTTACCTCTCAAAAATTTGCAGAGGTCCATAGCTGAAAATTTTTTTTCCAGTCCAATGTTTCTCCTTATTTCTGGACTGCTGGTAACCAAGGGTGGTAATTGTGGAGCCAAGAAAGAAAACTATTGACAGTTTCAATCTCTCCTTTTCCTCTCCATCCATCACATGTTGCTTATAAATCCAGTGGTAAGAATCTTTGTTTTGTTTTTTTTTTACATTGAAAGAGAAAGTGACTAAACACAGGGAAATAATTTCCAGAAAATAATGGCTTTTAAATTTAGAAGTAATTTCATCTTTATATTATTTTTTAATACTTAACTAATTTCAGTATGCATTCTGGGACACAATAGCCATGCAGAAACATTTACAGTGGGAAATGCACATTTTCATAGATACTGTGATATACAAACTGAAGTATGTGCTAATGAATTAAGGCTACAACAGAAGCACAATATGCCTTGAAGTTAAGGGAGGGAATGCAATGTTGTGTGTGCAATTAGGCAGCACAAATCTTTTCTTCTTTTCTTGAACTGAAAGCTTCAATTGCATGCCAAACAAGAGTGTGTAGAAATGATGCACATCATTGCTTTTAATTGGTTACTTAACATACTCTTTGAAAATGTAGCTTAAAAGTTTTCACAATCAGTAAGTCACAGGAAAAGTCAATGTGTGTAAATATAAAACATCACCATATTCACACCTTTCCTATAAAATATGTAATCGCTTAAATTACTGTTAACATAGAATAATATTACTAAAACCTTATAAATACTTCTACAATGCCTTATTCTAAAATAAAATCTTGTAAAGACCTTGTTGTTGTTGTTTAATGCCGTTGAGTTGTAGACCTTAGATTAATTAAAAATAGATTTGCTTTTAAACAATAAAAAAGTATTCTAAAAAAGCTTCTATGGAAAAAATTGGAAAAACTCCATCAATAAATGAAATGATCTGTCATGCTTACACTTACGAAGTGTAAATACTAGGTGGAAAAGAAATCATAAAGATTTCTTTTCTCTGCCAAATTATCAATAAATTAATACAATTCCAATCATAATTCCACAAAATTTCTGAAAGACTTGAATAAGATGGTATTAAAATTTTATATTTGAGGGCAAAACTCAAGAAGACTATAAAATTATTGAAGAAATATAACATCTTAACATTCATCATAATAATTTTCATTTTAGAAATTCAATATTACATATGGAGTAGTGACAAAGATGGTCAAGCAAAACAAAGGGAAAATAGAATGAATAAGAAATCCACATGAACGTAGAAGCCAGCAATGCAGTGAAGATGGCGCTGAATTTTATTATATAGAGAAAAGACACTTCAACAAGTTTCATTTTAACAGTTTCTATATAAGAAAAATACAAATGGACACCCACACATTAATTTTATACTGACTAATCACTTATATATAAAAATAAAATTTAAAACATTTAATATAAAACAATAGGAGCACATATTTTTATGTCTTCACATTAGAAAATCTTTCTTTTAGCAAAGCACAAAGCTTAACCAGAACTACTCGTAACTTTCACTACATTAAAACTAGAATTTCTTGTCATCAAACATTACCATAGGAAATGAAGACTAAGAGAAAATATTTTTAACATTAGTAACTCGATGGCACATAACAACAACACCACAACAACAGTAATTTACAAAAGCTTTCATATACATAACACATGACAAACTGATGAATCAATATAAAATGTCAGTAATCATTCAATATATTGGAGAAGAAAAACATAAGGAGATTTTTATAGAAAAGAAAAATCGAACGAACTTCAGAAAAACTATAAATACTTCAGTTATGTTAATAATTGTGATTTAGTAGAAAGGTATAAGATACAATCAAATTCCTTATTTTAAAGAACAGTGGCAAAAATAACATCTTTTTAATACTAGGTGGAAAATGTAAATTAGATTAGAAACCTCTATAATTTTTACTTTCAAAATTTTATTATTTCCATTTTCTAATATTTCCTTTAAGGGTACTATGCTCTGCTGACTTTAGTGATAAGGAGTTGCACTGCCAATCCAAAGGTACAAGGTTCAAATCCACCAGCTGCTTCTTAGAATAAAGACAAGAAATCTCCTTCCAAATAACTAACTGCCTCTGAAAACCCACTGCAGAGCCAGCAGTTCTAGAAGTCAGTTCTAACTCAATAGTTGTTGTCGTTGTTGTTGTTGTTTGGTACTGTCGAGTTGTAGACGACTCATAGCAACCCTATGAACAAACATCCTGAGCACTGTTAGTACATAGATTTTTCAGAGGCAAGCAAGCCATTTTGGAAGTGGATGCCGCTCCTGCTTCCAGGCTTGATTTAGTCGGGAAGATCCAGCCAACACTGTCCACCATGGGTACCCATTACCACGATTGGCACATCACTGTCACAGTGTTCAGCATCACAGCAACCACGAGTTACCTCTGTACAGCAACGCACAGACCAGTGCTATACCACCTAGAAGAATGTTTGACAGGAAAACAATTTTAACCTGGCCGAGGGCCGCAGATTAAAATCACCCATCTTAGGCTTGGTAGCATACATAACTTCCTTTCCACTAAGCCAACGTAGCTCTCTCTTTGTCGTTGTTGTTGTTATTGTTGCTTGGTGTCCTCAAGTCGTAGACGACTCATAGCGACCTTATGAACGAATGGCCTGAGCACTGTTTGTACATAGAGTTTCCGGAGGCAAGCCATTTCAGAAGTGGATGCCGCTCCTGCTTCCAGGCTTGATTTAGTTCGGAAAACTCAATAGTACACAACAATTATTATTTACTCTAAATGGCCAGCTGGGTAAGGTGTTGCTGTCACCTCAAATGCAAGAGAATAGAATGCACTAGGTGCTGTGCTAGAGAGAGATGGGCAGAGTCACCTCTGGTGTAATTTATATTCTCCCAAAGCCTGTGGGAAGGTTAGCTATGAGGCCATTCCAAATCAAGACACATAACACCAACACGAGAGTGAATCAGATCAAGCAGAGGAGAGAAGAAGGATGAAACCCAAGGGAGAGTCAGAGACATGTGAAGAATGAAAAGGCATCAACACACCGTTACTGCTTTTAGACGTAAGAGGAAACGTGAATTAGGGAAAGCAGGCTGGTTCGGGAGGCTGAGAGCTCTCAGCCTTCTTCCTCAACTAACAGCCAGCAGGGAAACGGGGAACCAAACGTTGCCAGTTCTATGACCACAAGCAACTGAATTCTGCCAGTATCCTGATCAAGGCTGGAAGCAGACTTATCCTCCAAATCACCCGATGGAAATTTGAATCTGATAATAACTAGCGTGATTTTGGACTTGAGATCTAGAGCAAATGAACTAGTTGAATTTTATCCACAGTGCCCTGACTTCTGATGCAGAGAAAGTTTATGTTAAGAGAATAGAAACTCTTTGACACTGCTAAATTTGTGGTCATTTGGTATGACAGTCACAGAAATGTAATGAAACAGAAATTTCACTAATTACTATTTAGTCAAAATAGTCTGGAGCTCTGGTGGCCTGGTGGTAAGGAGCTGTGCTGCCAACCCAAAGACACATGGTTTGAATCCACCAGTTGCTTCACAGGAGAAAGATGAGCAATCTCTTCCTGGGCGAATAAACTGCCTCTGAAAACTCATTGCAGAGTGGGCTATGAGTCAGATCCAGTTCAGCATGCAACAAAAACAGCAGGGCAGCATTCAAATCTATTGCTCCTTGAATTGCTATGAGTCATGGTTGACTCAATGGCACGTGACTGTTTAGGGAGCTCTGATGGTTCTTAGCGAGCTACACTGCCAAACCCAAAGGTGGCACCATTCTGGAAGTTCAAAACCACCAGCAGTTCTTTGGGAGAAAAATGGGCAATCTCTTCCCATGCAACGAACATCCTCCGAAAACCTGCTTCAAGGTCTGCTATGAGTAGATTCTAACTCGACAGCAATTAGCAAGTTATTATTTTGTTATTGACAGAAATATTTCATATTCAGGGCTCATAACTAAAGCCAATATAATTTTAAGTATGAAGAAAATTACCTTTCTTGATAAAGTGGATAATTCAAGTAATGATGATTTTGTCTCCTCCAAAGTTTCAGTCACTGTTAGTTGACTCTCCTCAATATCACCACTAACATTATGTATAGATGTTGAGTAGTACACATACAGGTCTTCATATTTATCTATCTCACTCCTAAGTGTAAAATACAGATGGTTTTATCCATATTTAAGAGAAAGTAAAATGTAAGTTACATTTAGATTCTGTCTTAAAATAATTTTAAAAAATACAAAAAAATAAATAACAGTAAAAAAAGTTATTCACTGCTGTTGAGACGGAATCAACACAGCACTGACCTTTTAGCAGGTTTTTGGAGGCTCAGGAGGAAACTACTCATATTTCTCTGCGAACCTTCAGACACACATTGTCTTTCAAGGGAATTTATTTATCCCTAAAATGTATCCCATCCCAGAGAAGCTCTCTAATTTCTGCAAATTGTCAGTAGGCTTTAGCTGGCACAGTGAAGTGATCTACCTGTAACTGTAAGTTCCCAAGAAGTGACCTAAAATACAAGCCAGGTTCGTGAATTCTGAAAGTTCATAGCCTTGAAAAACCTGTGAAACAATTCTATTTCACACATGTGGGCTGTCATGGGCTAGAAATTAATTTTGCAGGAACTAAGAAAAATTACATAGACAAAAACCAGAATGAAATCATCAAAAGCATTTAAGCTTCGGGGGGAGGAGGATAAGAGGTGTGTAAGTGATCAAAAATTACTAGTATAAAAGCAACTTTAGATCTTAGCGTTTTCATGTAGCACAGGAAAATCACACTGAGAAGACAATATTATGGTCATATTAAAAAAAAAAGTCAAAAGTCAAAATCATCCTCGTGGAATTGGATCTGATGCATAGCTCACCCTCCAATGGGTTTCTGAGGCTGTAAATTGCACAGGAGAAGACTGCCCAACTTCTTCTCCCAAGAAGGCAGCTGGTAAATTCCAGTCACCCGAGACAGGAGCCTTGCTGGCTTAGCCCGTGGGGATTACATGAAATATCAGTAATACAAATAATCATAACTTATCAAAAAATGACAAAGTAATATGTCACAGATGTATGTGCAACTCTAATAAGAGTTACTCATTAAACATAATGAACTGCAACAATTCAATAATGGATTATTTAAAAATAGCTAAAGAGGGGACAAGATAAGCATGCAGCTAATAAGAGATGTCTGGGGGGGATGTGCTGTAACAATAAAAGTGACAAAGCATAGTGGTATTCTAGATGAAACATATGTTCTACATAGGGTCTCTTGAAATTTGTACACATGTATGAAATTATTGTTCTTGGGTACCGTCAAGGCAGAACCAACCCATTGCTAAGCCTCCTGTGGAATTTCAGAGGCAGTTAATCACACAGGAGGAGACTGTCCATACTTCTCCTGCAAAGCAGCTGGTGCCCTTTAACTGTGTGCCTTTGGGATTATAGCACAGCTTCTTACCAGTAGGCCATATATAAAATAGTATATAAGTAATTATATATGTAAAATAAAAATTAATGATATATGTAAAATCCCTGTTAGAATATAGGGAACTTTTTCTTTACCTGAACTCTTTGTATGCTACTCATTACATTTTGAAGTTAATTTCTCTTTTCCAAAGTGGGACATTAATAAATACTCTGAATACCATTTATGGATAATTCTTACTTGTATCCAGCCAAAGATGATTTATGTTGCTCAATATCATTAACCATTTCAATTTTAAATTGTTCAGCTTTCATTTTGGTTTCTTGGCACATTTTTTTGACTTCTTCAAGTTCTTCATGCACTTGCTGGTACAACGCCATTATCTAGAAATTAAAATATACATGTGTATCTTTGCCACTGATGCACTTAAAATTATTTATAAAGAAACAGACTGGAGAAAGGACTTAAACTTGGGCTGGGTCTACATTTTTGGGAACTGTCAAATATAACAGCAATAACACAAAAGGGTGACTTAAGCAAACAGAAATGAATTTTTCTCTGAGTTTAAGATACTGAAAGTCCAATTTCAGGGTACTGGTTCTAGGAGTAGGCTTTTTCTCTCGGTTGGTCCTCTGAAGAAAAAAAAACAAACCAAACAACAACAAACTACAACAACTCAGATGATAATGCCAGTAAGCATAGAAAATCCCAAGGACTCAACCAAAAACCTCTTAGAGCTCATAGATCAATATGGTAGAGTGGCAGCATACAAAATAGATATACAAAGGTCAGTGGGATTCTTCTACAGTAACAAAGAAAACACAGAGAAGGAAAATAAAGAAGTAATACCATTTATAATGTTGTTTTTGTCGTTGTTATGAACCGTCGAGTTGCTTGTTACTCATAGCGACCCTATGTACAACAGCCCTAAACTCGGTCCTGTCCTGTGCCAATCACACTGTGTGCATCATAACAAACTGTGGCTGACTCTGAGGACAATGGGAATCCCAAAACACTTGATTATGCTAATGAGAAACTTACACTTGTACCAAGAGGCAGTCAGAATAGAGCAAGGAAACACTCCATGGTTCAAAATTGGGAAGGGCGTACGCCAGGGATGTGTCCTGTCTCCAT